AACTAATAATAAAAACAATTGAACATTAATGTGTGTGTGTGTGTGTGTGTGTGTGTGTGTGAGAGAGAGAGAGAGAGAGAGAGAGAGAGAGAGAGAGAGAGATCTATTAAAGCCATACAGATAATTACTATAAAACCAGCATCGCACCAGTCCTTTCATTAAGAGCCATCGGTTCTGAAAGGGCCGTTGGAATAGGAAGATCTTCACCTGTTGGCAGAAGGACAACCAGTTCAGCAATGCTAGTCCTTTGGCAATACTTATTATTATTATTATTATTATTATTATTATTATTTGGCAATAGTTAGGGCACATAGACCCCATTTTTGTTGTCCAGTTGTCACCTTCCATATGATAGGTATATAATTCAAAAGAATATTTTCTTCTGAGTTTTTAAAGTTTTTCCATAGTTAGATTTTTACAGGTTTCCCCCCCATAAATTTGTACAGTTCAACACACATTCCCCCCAAATTTTGTGAGAATAACAGATGTAACTGTCTTAACTAACAAACAAAAAATGGGAGGATGTAGATTACTGAATTCCTCCTTCTGAATGCCCCAGAAAGAGTAATCATGTAAGTAGTCTGGGGACGGGTTTAATATGAAACAATTTTCTCTTAATTAGTGGCCACTTTGCAGGTTATTAAGCTAAGCCATGCAGGACTGAGAACTTTCATTTTAAATCTTTTATTTTTGTTGTTTTATCTAATTGGACTAATTGGGCGAGCAGATTAGCATGGCTGGAGTCAGAAGGGGGAAATATTTCTCTCTGTAGGCAAATTGCTGGTACATGTTGCACGGACAGCCTTGGTTACGTTGATTAATGGCCTCAGTGGACAGCTGAAAAATCACTAGAGCTGCTGGAAAAGATCATTAACAGTTTTAAGGCTTGGGTCACTCTGACGGGTGGAGAGAAATTATTAGCAAGATTTTTAACGCTGTCTGCCTAGACTGTTTTGTGTGTGAAGAATTTGGTCCATGGCGCTGCTAAAATGGCAGCCACTGTGGTTCTTCCTGCTAAAACACAAGGTTGTGATTATAATGCAAACACACATAGATGTTCCTTCCAGTAGCACCCTAAAGACCAACTAAGTTAGTTCTTGGTATGAGCTTTTCGTGTGCATGCACACTTCTTCAGATACGAAAAGCTCACGAAAGCTCATACCAAGAACTAACTTAGTTGGTCTTTAAGGTGCTACTGGAAGGAATTTTTTTGTTTTGACTATGGCAGACCAACACGGCTGTAACACATAGATGTTGTATCAGTCTAAATGATATCCCCTGCTCCACTGCCACAAACAACAACAACACCAAAACAATGAATGTTTTAGGTTTGTGAAGGTGCTGCTAATTCAGGTAAGAGATTCACAGGGCACTACAGAACTGCAGACATGCCCGGTATCCTCATTCATCAACAACTTGTCAGCGCAGAAATGTGTTTAGAGAACAGTAATTGAAGCAACAGTGGCACTTAGTACCCTTATCACCCTTAGTAACTGCATGGTTCCTCCACCACTTACCCAGGTATATTCTCGCTACAGATTTCCTTAGGAACCATTGCAGGGAATGGGGTACACTGATGTTCAATAATCTTCATCAAGGACCAGAAGACACGGCTTCAAATCCTGCTCCAGGCAGTGGCTACTGTTCGATTTCTCCCCTGAGCTCTGATCATTACATTAATTTTTTTTTAAATGCACCACCACCATCATAAATAATTATGGTTACTGTTGTTTGAACAGAAAACTCTGAAGGCAGAAAATGCAAAGAATCCATTCAGTAACAAGTAAGGAAAGAACTGAGGTGGGATGCAGGAAGGTCACACCGAACAGTAACTGTCTAAGAGACTTCACATGCCAAGAGAAGCAGTGTTAGTGGTTCTGACGAGAGGAGATATGGTGGTTTTGCAACAGAAGACTATTCCCAGGCTGTTATTAATGTTTTACTTTATGCAGGAGTTCGTAAAGTCCAGAAATGCTTTATTCCTTTCACTCATGGGTAGGCAATCTAAGGCCCAGGGGCCGGATCCAGCCCAATTGCCTTCTAAATCCGACCCGTGGATGGTCCGGGAATCAGCATGTTTTTACATGAGTAGAATGCATCCTTTTATTTAAAATGCATCTCTGGGCTATTTGTGGGGCATAGGAATTTGTTCACCCCCCAAAAAAATATAGTCCGCCCCCCCCCCACAAGGTCTGAGGGACAGTGGACCGGCCCCCTGCTGAAAAAGTCTGACCCCTGCTTTCACTCTTTCACACAATGATGACCCATACAATCTTCAGCTGGCTCCCTCCCAGTCTGCCTCAGTCCCCTGCAAAATCCTTTCACATCAAGCGGCATGGAGATGGCATCCATCATATATTTTTGCATATAAATTTATGTCTAATAACTTGGACCTTATAAACAACACCTAAGTGAGCTCTTAATGTAAGAGACAATATGATAGGGGCAAAGCTTGAGCAGCTCAGAACTGTCAAATTCCGTGTATTAAATCTGTTTCCAATTCCCCCTCCAATATTGTGGTCCTCATTCTGGCTGAAGAGCAACACTGCCATCTACTGGAGAACAATAAAATAGCTTCAGCAAGTGAGGTTGGCGGGTTTAAAAGGGCATCTGTTTGAATCGTTTTGTGGTGAATGGAAACAACAAACCGGGTGCTATTAGAGGTTGTGTAATTCATATTGCCAAGGCAAGAGAATATGAGAGCCAGGGGAGCTGGTGTGTGTCTGAGAGAGTACAGCGGTGGGATGCTTGAGGAAGAGGTATGTCCACACATCTCATGGCACATTCAGGTAGACTTTTCCCTAGTCACACACGGCGGAGACTGGTCCATTAGGGCTTTTGGACCAACCAAATCTACCTCAGCCATCCCTCAGGAGATGGCACGGCCAGACAGCTTCCTCCTTGGTCTCGGTTTGACGTTGTTGAAGGTAGCTGGGAGGAGGATGGGGTCAAAACAAGAATTGGTTGGTCCCAGCTGTCATTGGCTCTGCCTCTGCTGTCATGGGATTCTCTGCTTTCCCTCTTACCAGTCTCAGTGGGGCGCATCCTAAAAGGTAAAGGTAAAGGGACCCCTGACCATTAGGTCCAGTCGTGACCGACTCTGGGGTTGCGGCGCTCATCTTGCTTTATTGGCTGAGAGAGCTGGTGTACACCTTCCGGGTCATGTGGCCAGCATGACTAAGCCGCTTCTGGCAAACCAGAGGAGCGCACAGAAATGCCGTTTACCTTCCCACTGGAGTGGTACCTATTTATCTACTTGCACTTTGACGTGCTTTCGAACTGCTAGGTGGGCAGGAGCAGGGACCGAGCAACGGGAGCTCACCCCGTCACGGGGATTTGAACTGCCGACCTTCTGATCGGCAAGTCCTAGGCTCTGTTGTTTAACCCACAGCGCCACCCGCGTCCCGGGGTGCATCCTACATTCACTATTTTTGTGTATCTGTATTGCAAGTTTGTTGTATCTTGATGGGGGGTTTCCTGCAGGATGTGATTACAGACACCGCAGCACTTGAAAGTGAGTTGAGTGCCACACCACAAAAGCAAGTTGAGATACAATCTGGGCACATGGTGAGACAGCAATAAATCTATGAGACCAGGAGACAGGCTAAATGTGGTAAAGCTTGTCCTTAACTGCATCGCTTCAGGCTGACCCTCATGACAGAATGCTCCTGCATATGAAAAACAAGAAACCTTGACCTCAGGAAGAAGAGTTCTAGTCAAGAATAGCATTCTTCTTTTCAGGGAGAACATTCAAACACAGTATTGCTCCCCTGCAAGCAGCACAACCATGGATTTACCATGGGATCTGCTTACTTTGTAGACCAGCCCTTAGTTTATGTTAATAGTGGTTGGCTTTAAGAAGAGAAGCCTGTTGGATCAGGCGAGTGGAGCTGAATGATGGGGGTGGAGACGCTCCTTCAGGTATACAGAGCTGAAGCCGTTTAGGGCTTTAAAGGTCAGCTCCAACACTTTGAATTGTGCTTGGAGACGTGGGACTCCGCTAGATTGGTAAATAAAAAGTGTTTTATATGTGTTTTACAAGCGATATAACACTGTGACACCAGATGGCACTGTGGAGTCCCGTCTTTCCCCATATGAGTTTACAACATGTTTAACTGAAACGCTTCTCTGATGTGTCTAGATCCAGCCGTACTGAGAGCCAATGTAGGTCTTTCAGGACTGGTGTCATATGGTCCTGGCAGCCACTCCCAGTCACCAGTCTGGAAGCCACATTCTGAATTAGTTATAGTTTCTGAGTGACCGTCAAAGGTAGCCCCACGTAGAGCGTATTGCAGTAGTCCAAGCGGGAGAGAACCAGAGCATGTACAATGCACAGACAGGTAGGGTCTCAGCTGGCATACCAGAGGGAGAGAAAGTCGCTTGTGATTACCAGGGACTGGAAGTCTGGGGCATCTTGCCTCTGACAGTGAAGGAATAACACATCTACAATAGCTGTTTCTTTGTGAGAGTGATATCTTTTCTACTGAAACAATTAGGGGAGTTTCCATCGGGAGGGGGAAATCCTGGCATTTTCTTCTCATTTTCTCTGCCTCCTCTCTTAATGAGAACTGAGGTACTGTGTCAAGAAAATGGGAGAATCCCCTCTCTTTATTTTATTAATAAATGGGGAAAAGCTCTTTCCCCAAAATGTAATGGTGTGTCTCACAAGTAAGAAAAATTAAGAGTGGTGAAAAATGATTTGATGGAATGAAATTATTCCCTGGATCTGGGGCCAAGCCTAATCCTCTATTACTCCCACCCCCTTTTTCCTGATATGGCAGTTTCCTCTTCTTGTTTTTTGTTCTTCTGCAAGATAAACTCTGTATAAGCACAGTTGTTATACAAAATTACAAGCTGACCAACCAAAGGATTTACAGATGTGCTATCACTTCCTTGATGGAGTCTCTACATTTATTGCTTCTCTGTCCTGTGTGTGTTGGGCTACTCTTCTGAATTATGGCTATAGCGATGGTGGTTAGTTTTGCAACAGTCACAAACTCTTCATACGAAAAATACTTTATTTTCAAATATTAATAATTCTGCTGTATTGAATTCTTGGGTTACATTTAATGGACTTGGAATACAAACGGCAGCACCACTAACTTAATTTAATATCATGTGACCATGTAAGGCAAAGACCTTTCTAATTTCATGTTTCATTTCTTTTAAACAGAAGCTGAATATTCATGAATATACACAATTTTAGTAAGGCTATGCTCATGGAAGTAAAGAGATAAGGCGGGTGGGGGTAGAAAGATTGACACCAGGACCTGCTGCTCCACTGGATCCGGCCACCTGAGGCAGTTGCCTCACCTTGCCTCATGGGTGGGCCTCCCTAGGGCGAGGTGTGTGTTCTGGTTAAAGTGGGGCTGCATATGGACTATGCCTTTAAAGGGCATTTGAAGCACACACACCCTTAAATTACAGTGCCTGATGCCTCACTTTATTGGACGTGACTCCCCTCTGCCCACTGTAGTTTAAGGCTTGCTAGGAATTGTAAATGAGAGATAAACTACAGTGCCCATAATTCTTTGGGGGGGGGAGGGAAGAAATCTGCTTTTAAGGTGTAGTGTGTTCACAGCCTGGGACTAAAGCAAGGAGGCCTACAAGCTGCCTTGGGGATTTGGGGCTTCAAGGGAGGTTGGGGGCTGCTGTCTCCAGTCTGGGCCACATGGGCACCTCTGCCCGCCCCTCAGGATGTCCCAGATGCTACACTGATCGTCTTTCTTCTCTCCTCTTCTGGTAGGTAAGGAGCAGACTGCCACTGGGACAGCTGCTTGGCATCTAGGCACCCCTGGCTCTCTCCTCCTTCCACCTGCTCTTTGCCCGGGGTTCACAGGACCCACCCACCCCCAAACTTGTCTAAACTCACAGGTCTCTGCCTAGTGCCAAAATGAGAATCCTAGGCAGGAACTTCTGGGTTGACCCAACCCTTCTCTCCCCTCTGTGCACATCCCGGTTCTTTATCCAGCAGCTCCCAGTGGAGACTTGCACTCTGTCCCCTTCCTCCAGGGTCTCTCACCCCTTCGCCTCCACACCATCCACCTCCAAACAGGCAAGCATCATCTGAATGCTGGCATCCGATAAACTATAACTGCCGTGGGCTGGTTGGTGAGGCTGGCAGCCTCCCTGGGAGTAGCTGAGATACCGCCTCTCTTTTCCTTGCTGGCTGGCTGAGATCTACAGTCCAGCCAGTATTATTTCAGATGTATAGACATATAAAAAAATATAAGGGCAAGTCTTCTGTGCAGAACTATGTGTACTCTGTGCTATATATATTCAGGCAATCCATATTCTGTACTAAGAAAACAAAATCCTGTGAGATGTGATAAATTATAAAATTTGCTCAAATTTTATGATTTATCTTATTTTGCATAATTTACAAGTTTTGCTGTCTTTCATAATTTATGCTGCCCTTGCTAATCATGGGAAAGGAAATGACACTGAAACCTGACGTCCCCAAGGACTGAAAATCTCATTCAGGCACTGCTCGTACTTCTGAGCTTTCAGCAAATGTTTGCATCTTGCTTTACAAAATGAAAACTGAATTTCTCAGGAAGCTTAGTTATGCGTACCTTCCTACACTCACTTGGAACTGCAGCATAAAGTCATGCATTACCAGTTACATATCTAATAGGAATGTTCTGAAAGAGCAGATGAATAGAAGATTTACAATATTTCTTAAAGTGGGGGAAGAGATGGTGTTAAGAAAGATTATGATTTCTAATGATGGCAGAATAATCCCAAAGGGCCTGCCTTTGCTTAGTCACTGGCATGGTATGTATTTTTAATGTAAACCACTGTGAGCAACACCATAGCATGTAAATTGTCATCTGAATTGTACATACAACAAGCACACATTGTGCCAACTTTTTTTTTTTTAAACTGCAACCAGGCATCTAAATTATGCACCAAGAAAAGAGTAATCCTTTAACCAGTATAAATTATGCACAGTTGCTCTATTTGCACGATTTCGCTTTTCTGCATAATTTACCTGTATTTTTGCTATCTTGCATAATTTATTCTGGTTTTGCTACTAATGAGGTCAAGAACCTATGTAAGCCACGGAAGTACTGACATCAACTACCAGGCTTATGACATATTGGTGGGCATCTGACCAGGCACTTCTAAGCATCTTTTTGCAGCTGTTCTGCTTGGTTTTATTTTCTGGTGAGATTCTCAAGAAGCGGAATTCTGCACTTCCACTGCAACATGTATATAGCCCTGGATTTAGGCTGCTATGTGGCATCCCGGATTTCACTGAACAAATAGTACTCGTCCAAATAGTAGCTACTCATCTAGGACTAAGTTCAAATTTCAACTAACTGGAAAAACTTCCATGCCAACGGCAAACTGTGCTCAATATACAGTACATTGCAGGGTTCAGTTTTCATCTTCTGTGCTCCCAAATGCTACCATCATCTGACAGACCATTGTGATTTCAACACATGCACTTGGCCAAAGAACACAAATGTTATTTACAGAGTGTATCCAGGCTACAGAGAGAACCCTCATACATCTAGAAAGAGCATACAAAAATATTATAAAGTACTGCATAAAAGCAAGGGCTATGGATGTGAATGGGATTCATAAGGAACTCAACTGTTTTGATACAATAGCCAAAATCAGACTGTTTACTTCGTAATTTGCAATCTGAACTTGATTAAAAAAAACATTTAAAAGTTATCACAACTGAATTTTACTTAAACCATACAAATGTAATTTTAAAAAGGAACCCTAGACAAATATAAAGCTATATAAAACCATTATTTCGAACTCCTAATTTTTGCACATTCTACGTTTTTGGGCTTGCTGAGGTTCCTCAGCCCTTTAGGCACTGGTTCCATACAAAAGTCCATTTTGGCAGGCAAGATTGATTCTCACAATTCAAGCCACTCTCCTTGTAGCAAGTTTGATAACCATTTTCAAATATAAACCTGCTTATCCAAACTAATCCGATCCTCCGTTTTGCTTTTCATTAGCCGCTTGAACAGTCCTTTCCCTCAGGCTCCGGGCAACGTTATTTCCTTGGCGGGAGCACATTCTGTTCGTAGTGACCAGGGTTGACAATATTGCCAGCAGGCTCATATCGGGCCACCACAAATGTGGAGCCGTCGCTGGCAGCTGCCTTGCCAACTCCCATCTTTTTGGTGTTCTTCCAAACCATGGCTGTAAAGTGTCCTTAAAGAAAAACCCCACACAGAATCTATTAGGCTCTGGGCAAGAGTCTCATGCAAGACTGGGCGAGAACAGGACTCGGTTTCAGAAAAACTGCTCAAGGAAATTCAAGCATCCTAACTCAAGGACCTTAACCTTTGTGCGCAATAAAAGTATTGCTTGCTCATAACTTTTTAAAAGAACAATTGTTTTGAGGATACATTTGAAAGTTTTAAGGAGCGCTCCAATTAGTTAACTTGTTTGTTTGACCTCAGTTTTAGGTTCCTTGGTATGAAGCTCACTGGAGACTGTGGTGTTCTTGTGATATACACTTTTATTTATAAACATACACAGGCTGAGCATTAAATGGAAGAGCATGAACACTCCAGCCAATCTTGCTCCCCATTAGGCTTCATGGAGAACCCGCAAAGTCATAGCTTTGGTTTCAGAAAAGACAGTGTGTCTGTCCTCTTGAGAATTCCCAGCGACCCGTGCCAGATGAGACTAACCCTGGCTAGTCACTGGCCTATTGCTCTCGAGGCATCCCTAGTTAGTTGTTTCTACGGCAACACATCCGTACTTAACAGGTTAACCCAATGCAGTTAGTAAAGCTTCTAACTGGTATCTCTGCCATTTCCTGGAAAATCAAACCATGTGTCTTTGGAATCAATGCTTTTTCAAGTTATGGTGTTAGAAAGAGGAAGATTTAGAAATTACTAAGCCTGAGCTTCTTCACACTTGGTTACCCAGCGCCTGTTTCTTGCTGAATTTTGAACAGCATGCCTCCACCTCCCCGCCCTCTATTCAGTCGAAAGGATATGTGTATATAAAAGCTTAATTTCTGAGATATTGTGAGAAACTAGAAGTGTCCTTTAGGTTATCCGCAGGGCCAGCCAAAAACATTCTGGTGAACCACAAAATGGCACCCCTGCAGCAGGGAAGAACGGGTGAGTGAAGGGGGGAAATCAATTCAGCCTCACCCAACAATTGAGGTGGGGGGGAGAGGAAGAGAGAGGTCCACTCTCTGAATCTCGTTGGGTGGATGGGGAGCCCACCATTTCCTTGCTAGGGGTGGGAGGAGACCAGCATTGCCTCCTATTCGCTGAGAGGCCGTGGCAGAGGCAGCATGGGGGGGGGTGTGCCAAGGAGGGGGCAGCTGCGGCCTCCAAGGAGGGTCCCACAGCCATCATTGCCACCACCAAAGCAGCAGCAGTGGGTGATGCATACCTTAGAGACGGGATCTGCTGCCCCTGCGGATCCTGCTGCCTGAGGCAGTCCCTTTCCTTGCCTCATAGGTGGGCCAGCCCTGGGTAACTGTCAATAAGCAACGCCAAGCCCATACTCACCTGTCCCAGAAGAAAACCCTGGACTCTGAAAGTTGTAACTTTTTATTTCGTTGTACCATCTGTCAGCTACTTCGCTCCCTGCAAAAGGAATGAAAAGATGCTGTTGAATTGCAACTGATGGGGTGCAAACATGCTGCCACTCTGTTCTTTTTTTCCTCCAAGACAAGGCAGCTCTGGGCTCTCAAAATACATTCTAACCAAGCTGGAATTAAGATAGTAAAAACCCCAAAGTTTTGGGGAAGAGTATCACACACCATTCTGACCAACAGCAATAAGTAGCTGAATTTAAAACGTAAAGAGAAAGCAATTTTTGACCACCTAAGTATGTCTTTTGCAGTTACCAAATGTCCTGACACAGTTTTGAAAAACGTATCAAAACATGTAACATGCGTATTTTGAGAGAAAATAAATTTAGAAATGTTTTGGTCGGTGAGTATAAAATCACGGAGATAACCGTCAAGCACTAAGCACATTTTCAATTTTATAAAATTCAAATGTTTTAATATTTAATGCAGTTAAATAACTTTAAACATATACAATTAATTCCAACCTACTTAACAACCCTCCCCCTTAAAGAACCGTCTCAACAACCAATTACTAAGCCCTCACAGAGATATAAATAAGACTGTTTCTTTCAATCCACTTGTCGAGAGAACTCGGAGGTGATTGAAAAGGGAAATGAGTAACGAGAAAGAGTGGAGAAGATGGGACTGAAAATATCATTGTAAACATGGAAGCAGCAGAAATATAGATGAATGGACTCCTGCCGGTCGCGAAGCATGGGTACCCCCCACAAAAAATATAATTTGGAAAACATTTGGATTCTATGATGTGTATTGATACAATTTGGACTAATTGGTATGATATGTTTAATTTGGTGAATGGAAACTTAATAAAAATTATTTTAAAAAGAAAAGGAAAAAAAAATCCAACCATTGAAAATTGCATAAGTATGGCACTGTGCCACTATTGGACTGACAAATTAAAAAATGTGTGTTGCTTAGATTGCAGTCCTTACAGTTTTGGGAGGGAAATGTTTGAGCACTGCAATGTTAACAGGTCTTTCCTATGTACTTATCTTACCTGACTGATCATACGAAGCCCATGCGAGGTTTTCCCCACATTTACCACTACTGGATTCAGGACTGTGTTTGAGGATTCTGGTGCTAGCAAGAGCTTCAGAATACCTAGATATAAAAAAGGAAAGGTCTTTAAATAAGCATAAACAGACTGCATCATGCTGAAGCAAAATGGATGCCAAGTTGGCGAAGGTTGTTCAGGGGTCTCCAAGCTTTCCTTGCCTCGGGCCAGGGTCTCCAGCGACGATTGCGTGGCTGGCCAGAGGGTGGGGGAGCGTGCGCCCGTACGCACACACACATGCTATTTCTGGTGTATATCCGGGTCAGAGGAAGCCCGTGTGCACAAGCTATTTCCGGTGCTCCTCTGCCCAGGAAGTGGGTCCCCGTGTTGCACTGCACCGCACCGCACCAGCAAGAGTGGACGGCAGCAGTGGCCATTGCCGCGGGCCAGATAAACAAGTCCCTTGGGCCTTATCTGGCCCCCGGGTTGTATGTTGGTGACCCCTATTCTAAATGAAGAGTATGCACAATGTTCCATATAAGAGCAACATAGTGCCCCAGAGCTACTCATACGAGATTGGAAAACTTCAGGAAGGTTTTTTTTATGTTTGATGCTTTGCTGCGCTTTTATTATGCTGTAAGCCACGTCAAAGTGCAAGTAGATAAATAGGTACCGCTCCGGCGGGAAGGTAAACGGCATTTCCGTGCGCTGCTCTGGTTGGCCAGAAGCGGCTTAGTCCTGCTGGCCACATGACCCGGAAGCTGTACGCTGGCTCCCTCGGCCAATAAAGCGAGATGAGCGCCGCAACCCCAGAGTCGGTCACGACTGGACCTAATGGTCAGGGGTCCCTTTACCTTTTTAAGGCACCCAGAGTGGCTGAAGCAACCTAGTCAGATGGGCAGGGTGTAATTTTTTATCTTTATCATCATCATGGCCATCATCAAACACGGCCTCTGCCCAAGCTCCTCCCTTTGATCCTCCTAGACCAGGCTTCCTCAAACTCAGCCCTCCAGATGTTTTGAGACTACAATCCCCATCATCCCTGACCACTGGTCCTGCTAGCTAGGGATCATGGGAGTTGTAGGCCAAAACATCTGGAGGGCCGAGGTTGAGGAAGCCTGTCCTAGATATTCCTTCCTTTGGCCTTTGAAATGGGGTGGAGGGCGGACAAGCCCCTATTTCCTCCTGCTGTCTCACCAGTGAAGCCAAGACCCCCCCCCAATGCTAATACTAATAATGCCAACACCAATGCTAACCCTAGCCCTATGGATGTGAAGGGTGAGGCAGCTGAATTGTATTCTGCCACTGTAATGAGAAATCGGAAAAAGATCAAACCTATCAAGAAGACCAAACCTCTCCATTCCGAAGGAAATCAGCCCTGAGTGCTCACTGGAAGGACAGATCGTGAAGCTGAGGCTCCAAGACTTTGGCCACCTCATGAGAAGAGAAGACTCCCTGGAAAAGACCCTGATGTTGGGAAAGATGGAGGGCACAAGGAGAAGGGGACGACAGAGGACGAGATGGTTGGACAGTGTTCTCAAAGCGACCAATATGAGTTTGACCATAAAGAAGGCTGGTCGCCGAAGAATTGATGCTTTTTAATTCTGGTGCTGGAGGAGACTCTTGAGAGTCCCATGGACTGCAAGAAGATCAAACCTCTCCATTCTTAGGGAAATCAGCCCTGAGTGCTCACTGGAAGGACAGATCGTGAAGCTGAGGCTCCAAGACTTTGGCCACCTCATGAGAAGAGAAGACTCCCTGGAAAAGACCCTGATGTTGGGAAAGATGGAGGGCACAAGGAGAAGGGGACGACAGAGGACGAGATGGTTGGACAGTGTTCTCGAAGCTACCAGCGTGAGTTTGACCAAACTGCGGGAGGCAGTGGAAGACAGGAGTGCCTGGCGTGCTCTGGTCCAGGGGGTCACGAAGAGGCGGACACGACTAAATGACTAAACAACAACAACAATGAGAAATCGGGGGGTGGGGAGGTAGGTTCCAGAGTTTATAGATAGAAAATGGTCCTAGAGATTGATCTGAAACTGGGTTGTGTAAAAGAGGTAAATTTAAGGGTGGGCCATGCCGTATTCGTAGTAGAAAGGGTAAGAAATTGTTATTTGAAATGAGTCAACATTTGATGAGGGACACTGTTGACAGTGATGTGTGCTTCTCTTCATACTGATGTGATTCTCCCATAAAGATTTCTATGCTTCCGTTGTTGCTGAGTAGGTGTTGGCCCGCCACACTGAAGGCAGACATGGCTGCACAGTAAACTTCAAATGGGATCTTTCACTTAAGATCCACATAGGTCAGAAACAAGTAAGCAGGAAGAGAAACGAGAACGGAATGCTCAGGAAAGCCACTTAGCTTTTCGTTCCTATAGACATTAACTCTCCAGCGGCTTCATCTTCTCAGGACAGTATTAATTAATTATGCACCATTGCCTTTTCGAACACTCCTTCTCAACAGACATATTAATTAACCCACAAAGCTGATTTTTCTTAATAGCTTGTGACAACGCTCCCCTGATAAAGGTTTTGCAGAACATCTGCTGTGGTATCTTCTGTAGGGCAGTATAGTAGGTCTAGTTCCTCTGAATCTCTTTTTTAAAAATTGTGTTTTGCATCAGTGTTTACCTTGCATCCCTTTTCTGGCTGTCACACTGAACAACATTCTGACCGTTGTGTGCCTGATTCCATGTAGTTCTCCCCATACTTTCGTGAACAGCCTTTCGCAATTAATCGGACCTTATGCCATTAATTTTACCCTATTGCACTTTATTTTCAACTCCCACTTACATCCTATTGGGTTTTCTGTCTGAAGGCTGGGGAGTGAGTATCTAGATTTGCTTATCGTGCATGGATTTTGTAGGACAAGTGACCAGAAGGATTGTCTTTGTCTTCCCCATCCGATCTCAACATCTGCATGGGATTGCCTTTGATCCTCTTCTGATACTGCTTTTGGCAAAGTCGTTTGCTGTATTCAACCAATGAGTCTTGCTAGCTTGACTAAGCTTTTCCCCTCCCTCCAATTCTCCTAAAGCAGCTCAGAGGATCAAGAGACTCCCCAGAAAAGAGTTTAGGAGAGGAAAGGAGAGGTTGTTTGGTCCAGAAAGCACAAATACTTGTTCTGATATAATGATCACCTTAGTATGATGCCAAATCCCACCCATCTTACTGATGGTCGCTTTGTGTGTGAATTCAGGATTGTGGGCCCAGACACAGTGAGGCCGTGGGCAGCTGGGGACTAATCAAGGAAGATGACATAATAACAAGACAATTGCTTTGGGATAAAAGAAGGGTTAATCTCAGGTTAAGGATCACTCTGGGATGTACATCAAAATGGGGTGACCTCTAAGATCACCATTTCGGGGGGTATCCTGGCCCATCAGCCTCCATCTGGGTGTCAGGATGGAGGCACCTCCCCCAGACACCTTTAAGGGAGCACCCCAATCCCTTGGAGTGGGGGGTGAGAGTCCCAGTTGCCTCCCCATCTGCACTGACTAGGAATTCAACCCAATGCCTTATCTGCCACCTCAGTTGGGCCCCACCCTCACCCCCTAAGCTACTTACATCTGCAACCACTCTCAAAGGTCTTTGTAAACATCCAGCAGCCACACCTTGGTGCCCATTGCCAACATACGTGCCCCATCAGGTCTGGACAGGCCTCTGTTATGAACTACAATGTCAGGGTGCTGAATCACCCAGCCCCAATCTGCCCTATCACTGCTGCTGCACCGACAGTTCAGACCAAAATATAGATATTAAGGGGGTGTTTCAAGAGCGGACTCTCCAGATTGGTAGGCTGGTGAGGTTGATTATGCCTTTTCTGTTTCTCAGATTATTCTTGCCTAGCTAATGACAAGGGCATCTGGAAGGGCCTTCACCACAAGCAGCGATGTAAGCCAGGGCATAAGGCTGTCTCCCATCTCATCCTCCTCCGGCCCCTTTTCCAGACTGGTCTGTCTTAGAAGCCTGCACCTGAACCCTTAAGGAAGACTGGGACAGGCACATATCACCCAGCACAAGACCCGTGGTAACCACTGAAGCCAAAAGCTGGCTGTGCATTCACTGACCCACAGCACCCCAAAGAAAGCAAGGGAATGGGCTGCCTGGAAAAACCTGGTCTTGTACTTTGACAAGTCCATGGGGCCCAACACAGTCTATATGTCCCTTAGGACAGTGTATGCAATTGGTTTTTTAGTGTCCTGGGCTGGGGGGTGGGTAGCTTCTGCACCAGCCTTCCAGCAGCTTCCATACATGGAAGTAGTCACAGAGGTCTGGAAGCTGCAGGAGTTTGCTGAATGATGTGAACACAGCTACATGCAAAGCCGTGGCATTTTGCATCTAATCCCTGTTCCTTAAGGGATATGAGGTATTTCAGAACATTGTCCGCCTGAGGAGGAGGAGAGTGTGAGGCAGCCCTGCCGTGAGACCTAAAGGCTTCCAAAAATGACCAAGCCCTAGAATACGCTTGGAATGTTGATAGCGCAACAGAATGCAATGCTCCCTGCTTCACAGTGTGTCTCCAAGCGCCCACAGGTCCCCATGAAGGCGTTCTGGCAGTGGCCAAGCTATGGGTGTCAGCACCATGAAGTGATCCTCCTCAAACCAGCCAGTTAATATCTTTTCCTCAACAGGAACATGATAGCAACTGTTTAGTTTTTAGAGACAGGGTGAGCATCAGAATGCTTGAAAGATTATATAAATTTAATACATCCAGAAAACTAGCGCATGAGGGATAAAGCGAGGCAAGGCCCCTTGTCTCAGACATGCTAGGAATCATAGAATCATAGAATCATAGAATCATAGAGTTGGAAGAGACCACAAGGGCCATCGAGTCCAACCCCCTGCCAAGCAGGAAACACCATCAGAGCACTCCTGACATATGGTTGTCAAGCCTCTGCTTAAAGACCTCCAAAGAAGGAGACTCCACCACACTCCTTGGCAGCAAATTCCACTGTCGAACAGCTCTTACTGTCAGGAAGTTCTTCCTAATGTTTAGGTGGAATCTTCTTTCTTGTAGTTTGGATCCATTGCTCCGTGTCCGCTTCTCTGGAGCAGCAGAAAACAGCCTTTCTCCCTCCTCTATGTGACATCCTTTTATATATTTGAACATGGCTATCATATCACCCCTTAACCTCCTCTTCTCCAGGCTAAACATGCCCAGCTCCTTTAGCCGTTCCTCATAAGGCATCATTTCCAGGCCTTTGACCATTTTGGTTGCCCTCCTCTGGACACGTTCCAGTTTGTCAGTGTCCTTCTTGAACTGTGGTGCCCAGAACTGGACACAGTACTCCAGGTGAGGTCTGACCAGAGCAGAATACAGTGGCACTATTACTTCCCTTGATCTAGATGCTATACTCCTATTGATGAGGCCCAGAATTGCATTGGCTTTTTTAGCTGCCGCGTCACACTGTTGGCTCATGTCAAGTTTGTGGTCAACCAAGACTCCTAGATCCTTTTCACATGTACTGCTCTCAAGCCAGGTGTCACCCATCTTGTATTTGTGCCTCTCATTTTTTTTGCCCAAGTGCAATACTTTACATTTCTCCCTGTTAAAATTCATCTTGTTTGTTTTGGCCCAGTTCTCTAATCTGTCAAGGTCGTTTTGAAGTGTGATCCTGTCCTCTGGGGTGTTAGCCACCCCTCCCAGTTTGGTGTCATCTGCAAATTTGATCAGGATGCCCTTGAGTCCATCATCCAAGTCGTTGATAAAGATGTTGAATAAGACCGGGCCCAAGACAGAACCCTGTGGCACCCCACTAGTCACTCTTCTCCAGGATGAAGAGGAACCATTGATGAGCACCCTTTGGGTTCGGTCAGTCAGCCAGTTACAAATCCACTGAGTGGTAGCATAGTCAAGACCGCATTTTACCAGCTTCTTTACAAGAATATCATGGGGCACCTTGTCAAATGCCTTGCTGAAATCAAGGTAGGCTACATCCACTGCGTTCCCTTCATCTACCAGGCTTGTAATTCTGTCAAAAAACGAGATCAGGTTAGTCTGACATGACTTATTTTTCAGAAATCCATGCTGACTATTGGTGATCACAGCATTCCTTTCTAGGTGCTCACAGACTGTTTGCTTAATGATCTGCTCCAGAATCTTCCCTGGTATTGATGTCAGACTGACTGGGCGGTAATTATTTGGGTCCTCTCTTTCCCCTTTTTGAAAATAGGGACAACATTTGCCCTCCTCCAGTCTGCCGGGACTTCGCCTGTTCTCCAGGAATTCTCAAAGATGACTGCCAGTGGTTCTGAAATCACATCTGCCAGTTCTTTTAATACTCTTGGATGCAGTTCATCTGGCCCTGGAGACTTGAATACATCTAGACTAGCCAAGTATTCTTGTACTATCTCCTTAGTTATTCTGGGCTGTGTTTCCTCTGCTGAATCATTTGCTCCAAATTCTTCAGGTCGGGCATTGTTTTCTTTATCGGAGAAGACTGAGGCAAAGAAGGCATTGAGGAGTTCAGCCCTTTCTGTGTCCCCTGTTTGCATTTCACCATCTTCTCCTCTGAGTGACCCCACGGTTTCTTTGTTCTTCCTTTTGCTACGAACATACCCATAAAAGCCTTTTTTGTTGCTTTTAACCTCTCTAGCAAGCCTGAGTTCATTTTGTGCTTTAGCTTTTCTGACTTTGTGTCTAGGAGCTACTGCTAGGAGCTACTGCTAGGAGCTAGGAGCTAGGAGCTACTGTGGTCTTTACTGTGGTCTTTTTTCTGGGTGGTCTTTTTGTAGAGAGAAGCATCCCATCCTATGAGACCTACCAACTGTGTGAAGTGGTCCAAGAAATGGTGGTGTGAATTGCTGGCAATACCGAAGAACATTAGAGCTCAGCTACATGCACCATGAGTCTGACCAAACTGTGGGAGGCAGTGGAAGACAGGAGGGCCTGGCGTGGCTCTGGTACAGGGGGTCACGAAGAGTCGGACACGACTCAACGACTCAACAACAACATGCACCATGTAATTTTAACAAAATTTAGGTTTTCTTCTTCCTTTCAACCAATGCTTATAGAAATTACTAGAGATTTTGCTGTGTGCCAGCTCGCTCCTCCAAAATATGGTACCACTGGAGAAGACAATTATGCTGATCCTGGCAGTGGGGGGAAAATGTCTTTTTTTGTTGTTCAAGGAAATAAATCCATGAGGATTTGAGTATCAACAAACCAAGAATCAAATCAAAAGTACTGCAATACCGATAAACTCTTCAATTAACAAATAAAGAAGTAGTTGTACTCACTGTTGTGCTTCCCTGTTTAACTTCTTGCAGAGTTTTAGCGAGGGAACTCCATGCTTCTTCCTGTAGTCATTGTGGGCTTTTAAGACCTCTTCTGCAAATTGCTTGGAAGCTAAAACCATATAAAGCATTAGAAATTCAAAACAATTCCAGTCTCTGCTTCAGGCCCTAAGCAAGCAAGGGCCAAAATCTTACATTGCTCTTACATTTCAAAGCCTACAAAATAAGAAGAAAATCAGTTTAACCAACTCATCAGATGGCTTGTTTTAAAACAGCTACACCTTTCTGTCTTATAACCATAACCTCCTTAGCTCATCTTCAACAACCAATGCAAAAAAGTAGCAAAGCCAATTTGTTAGCATAAAATATTATTTTTTTCATATCTAAGATTTAGATAATTTATTACGGTCAAAGTCCTGCTCGCATAACACAATAAAAACAGCATTCATAAAGATAAAATATACAATCAGAGCAGATTGCAGCAATAGCTCATGAGTTAAAATTGAGATATATACATACACCCGTACAACTGAGATTTGGGCTACCATAAAAATTGACCCTGAGGCACCCCAAGGGGCGACTTCCCTGGTAAGCTATTTTATTCTAGAGGATGATCTGCGCCTACAGATCTAAAATTAAAAATATACAGTAAGAACTTAGGGTGCACATCTATCTTTCTTCATACTCATCTTTTACTTTTGTATGCCACAGTGTTTCTTCCTTTGATACATCGGCTATTCTGAGCAGTTTTGCATGAAACCTCAGCTAATCTCCAAGAAGCAGGGAAGTTTGGAACTATTCCATTTAGTAGTGCAATGACTTTCTCTGGAATGTGCATCACTCATTCATGTTGGGAAGATGCCAAGTGATGTCTCCGCCAAACTGTTGTATTCCAGTGTGTTCCACTTTGTACTCTCGTCTTTTTCAAGAAAGTTTGTGGTGATTTTTCCTACTTTCAGTGCAACTGCAGCACCAGCCTGGTGGGTGTAGACTTGCAAAGCACTATTAATGTACCTAGCAATAGGAGTCTTCAGTAAGATAGTTGGTGATGTTCTGCCTGCCTGTCCCTACAGCATGTGGCCCCTTCCCCCATTTGTTTCCACAGCAACTATTGCCCCCGCTCTTTTTAATTTTCAATTTGTACTAAAGTGCATGTGTACTAATAAAATTATCATTTTAAAAATGAAGAAGCAAATGCTGCGATTGCTAGGATCATAGGAGCCAACTCTGAGGGGCCATGGGGGCTTCGTCACCCACCATAAATATTTGAGAGGGCTGTGTGGCGATCACACACAGGGCCCCCGGACGTCTGACGGTCTATTGACCCTGTGCCGCCACTGCGATTGCTTTTTCCGCTGCCACCACCCCGTATCTCACGGGGACACACGGAGTCCAGTCAGTTGTTAACATAAACAAATAATCAAGTTTATTTTAAATGCAGGGACAAGCTTATGGTTACAGTCAATTTTTCTCTTCTCAGTTTCTTATTCTTAGTTCCTAACAACTCCAAACTGATTATTCCAACTATCTATCTGACTCCACCTCACAATTCCTCTCACTCTCTCACAATACAACTCTACCAACACTCCACTCCACAACTCAACTGACTTTCAAAACCTCCCACTCTACCTTTTATTCCCCCCTTGCATTCTCACTGGCCAATCACATCACACCTATTTTAACCTATTTTCCTTAGGACCCATCCAGGAGGCAAACGCCACAGGCTGGGTCCCCACAAAGTTGATGGGCATTCCCACTCAAATAGAGTGTGTGCACTGTGCCATGTGATTGATTATGCAGGGTGGGCCTTATCTGGGCCCCCACAGTATTTTATTCAAGTTGGCACCCCTGGCTATGATTGTAAAAAGCAAATCAGTAAATGAAGTACCAACTTAAATAACGCCAGTGTCCGGAAGAAGCATGAATCACTTCACACCATGTGATCGGAGGCTGCATTCCTAAGTGTGCATTCTAGGGGGTGAATCAGAAGCTTAATTCTGACTTAAACATACCTAGGATTGCAGCCTTAGAGCAAGAGCGTAGGTCAGTAATGCACAAACCACTTTTGTTTCTGCTGTGGGAACAAGAACTGAGGGGTTCCCTATAGGGAATATAGTACTATATTACATGCTATGTAGAACCGCAGTTTTAATGCCTCTTCTAGCAGATAACAGTGCTAAAGAATCCTTGTGTAGAAATGACCCATATTTATGTTTAAAAAGAAAGCTTGGGTCAAATTAGCACAGGCACTTCCAATATTTAACAGAAGAGGACGGATAGCATAATTTCCATCCCATTACCAATGTGTTCACTGTGCAACACCCTACACATCCAAGTACCAAATATGCAAAGGTGCAAATGAGGCCATTCGTCCCATTATTGTCGGATCCAAATGGGAGCAGGTCCTCCAAGATCACCAAAGCTTTGCCTTTTAGCTGGTGATGCCAGACCTGGGATCTTCCACATGTAAACTACTACTGAGCTATGACTCTCCCAATTGTTGCTGAGGTAACTATTAATTTGGTAATCTTAAAATGCCCTGCAATACAGAATGCCGGATTTAGATACCACATTTAGTATTAAGATTTAGGACATATTTTTTGCATAATGTAATGTACATTGTGCGCCTCTCATTAAACTTTCCATAACCGATAATTAATATGCAGATCTGCCAAACAGCTACATTTTATTAACTCAATGAAGATATACAGGGACATAAAATTCTATGTTTACAGAGTTATAAAAATATGCAATTCTAATATTGCTTTCTCTCTCTCTTTCTCCCACACACACACAAAGACATGGAGCCTCCTAGCATACGGTAACAACTGAAATAAAGCTGAAATCATCCAGTCAGCAGTCAAGGAATGTTATTTCTTATAGATGCAACTGTGCTAGCGCTGAGAAACAAGAACAATAAATGACTAATTTGCTTCCCGTTTCTGTCCTCTGGAGCCTGAAAGATACAGAGCTTGCTTTGTCAGTTTGGTAATCTCAGCACGATGGGCTCATGGAAAAGAAGGGAGCAGCTGGACTTTCCAACAAACTTGGAAGCAGAAGCTGCTTTAAAAAAACAAGCTTTATAGAACAAGATTAAGTGAATTTGAGTTATATTCCCTGATCTAATCCATGATCTGCCAGTATAGACATAACTCCTAAGCATGTGATCCTAACACACATTTAAATGGAGATAATGTACTCCTGAAGAACTTTCAAATAACTGCAAGCCCAAAGTATTCCCTTAATGTTTATAAAGTGTTCTGAGCACTTTGCAATGCTGTATAAATACACGATGCATATTGCCTTGAAATCCTTTGGGAAGAAGGGATATAAAGTTAATACATAAATGCCCACACATCTACCCCAATTAATTCTGGAAAGAAGTCTGCTCTATTTACTAGCATAGCCCACGTGTCTTTTAGCAGTGCTTGGGCAAGTTCTCTCAGAACAGGGAGGGGGTTCCAGCTATTTTGGGACAGGCAAGAGATACTAGCAGGAATGTCCCAGTTCTGAAATATTGCTTAGACACAGAGGTTGATCAAGAAGGTTTATTCTAGGTGTGAGTTTGGGATTTGGAATCATAGAATCATAGTTGGAAGGTACCCTGAGGGTCATCAAGTCCAACCCCATGAAATGCAGGAATCTCAACTAAAGCATCCATGACAGATGTCCCTCCAACCTCTGCCTAAAAACCTCCAAGGAAGGAGAGACCACAACCTTCTGAGGAAGTCCATTCCACAACAGCTCTTACTGTCAGAAAGTTCTTTCGGATGTTCAGTTGGAACCTCCCTTCTTGTAGCTTGAAGCCATTGGTTTGTGTCCTACCCTCCACAGCAGGAGAAAACAAGCTTGCTGCATCTTCCATTCCTTCAGATATTTGAAGACGGCTCTCATATCTCCTCTCAGTCTCCTCTTTGGAAGCCAATGTGGGTTTCTTGCGGGGGTGTGTGTGTGTGTGTGCTGCAATACTGGGGATTTCAGGATATGTAGAATACTTGGAGGCAGACGCAGGCATGCCTGGCACATCCTGATTCTTATAATCCATTATCTGCTGATAAACTGCTGCGGTTGAAAAGCCCAAGGCATTTGTTGTGTGATTCAGGCTTTGAAAGCTGCCTGGTTCATGCAGTCGCATTGACTGCCTGCTTTGGTTAAGATCCTGCATACAGTATTTCAGGTGGGGCCCTGGACTTTAGCAGTGCTAGTTATGAGACGGTTATGAGATGGCACTGCTGGTCAGTGGCTAGACCACCACTGGTACAGTTGGGTATGGTTAAGGCTGCCTCTCTCTAGGGGTGCCAAATTGAATAAAATATTGGAGGGGGGGCGAGACAGGTAAGCCCTGCCCACATCACCAATCATAAGATGCAGCACCCAATTACCATTTGAATGGCAATGCCCATCAACTTGGGCCCCCCGGCTCCCTCAAATATATTACTGTGGGGGTGAAGGTACCTCCGCTCCTAAAAGTTGGCTCCTATGGGCAGATGAAGATGATGGACTTTTGGGAGCTAGCCGACCTGACTGGAAGAGTCCTCGACCAGAAGGAGGAGGAGTACCAGGAAGAATGGATGAAATTTAAAGACTATTTAGCTAAATACGTTAAGATAACCTAATTGGAAAAGCTTGCAAATAGTAGATAGGCTTGGGATTTAAACATGTAAGGATAGGAATTTAGATGTTTAAAGCAAAATTAGAAAGAATGAAAGATGTTAAGTGATCAAGTTAATTTTTTGAGAAAATTGATTTTGGAAAACTGTTAAAATGATATACAATGAAATTCAACCAGGGGGATTTGAGGAAGTCATTTAAAAATGTTATTAGGATTGGTTCAATTACAATTAGGATTTATGTTTGTTTAATTTTTTTTTTGAAAATTAATAAAAAAAATGAAAAGAAGAAGTTGGCTCCTATGTTCTCTCCTTTGGCAGGGTTTTGCTCATGCATAGTTTTAAGGAAAATTCTGGGTTGAAAGACTATTCAACAGCCCAGCTCATCGGAGTACAAGTCCCCCGCGGGTCCATGCGGTCAGTAAAAGTAGGAAATTCCAGCCAAGTAATTTGGAACAAAGCAGCAGTCAGTAGACTTAGATCCTTTATTGTTGCGCAACAG